GAACTAGAAATACGAAAAAAGGAGATGCCACAGTGATGAAAACACTACAAGAGAGAACTTTACATGACAAAGATAGGAGAACATGGTCAAAATACAAAAAGTAGACAATGCCAAAAAAGAAGTGAAAGATCAGGGTACAGATATTGATACAAAAGGATGAGCTGCATATGGGGTTGAGAAGAAGATGTGGAAGGAGATTTGCAAATTAGAAAGGAGATATACATGTGAGGGCACAATATAATACATGTATATAAAATTACATTATCATCATCATCATTATTGTCATTACTGGTATTATCATATTTATTATTACTATTATTAATATTTAATACCGGTATTAATATTATTGTTATTATATCAATTTATAATTCATTTTACAGATGCTTGCAAACTTTTTTCCACTAAAATTCTCAGCATCCTATCCAACATTGAGTCACAAACCCTTCTCTTTGATGTTCATATTGTGCCACCAGAGAATACACTGTTGCCTGCACACATTGATAATTTGATTACACTTCTAGATTAATTGGCCCAAATGTTGTTAATTCTGCTGATAATGGAAAAAAGAGAAATCCTTAAATGAGATGACCTTTCTAATACTCTCTCTCTCGACATGTGGAGGTAGTTTGAACTAGCATTTGGTTTAAGTTTTGCATAATTTGTTGATTTTAGCAGATTCGTAATTCAATTTCTAGAATGTTAGTCTTTAAAATAAGAATTGCACTCAGAATTGTAGGTCAACAACAAACCAAATTTAAGCAACTACACAAAATTACATCAACAGAAGCGAGCTAGACAGTTATGAGCTAATATTCCAGAATTGGTAAGCAAAATACACTTCTTCATTCAATTTTTCTATGAAAAGGCTGAAGTAGATGAATGACTAGTTCAAGAAGATACAGATGCAGAGAATCTGAGGAATCTATCACAGGCTATAAATGTTCAATTCAACCTTGGAAAAGCCTCATTTCAAATCACCTGGCTTTACATACAGTACACCTAGGTATCAACAAGCTTTCCAGGAATAGCCAAAGTCACTGGCAACAAGAGCTTGCTCTTGAATTGGGATCTCATGAGCTAATTGTTGCAGCGTGAAAATAAGATCTATTACCCTTCACTGGATCATTTGGGCTCTGCTTGGTCTTTGTTTGGGGAAACAACTACAGCTGTGTTGAGAAACAGGGTCAAGGGGCAGGCAATAGGACCCCAGTCGGGACAGATTGGAAACAGAAAGGACTAGAATGGAGCCATCTTCTAAGCTAACGAGGGATTATACCCCGTTTGGAACTCAGGCTGTCGTGCACAAGCTAAAGCAAGGATAGGCATGAAGGTCAAAGTGTTGAGAGAAGAGCTTGCCATCTCGCAAGTCTGATTGCACTTTTCCAATGCTGCTCCCCGGCGCGCCCTAGTGTGTTCTCAGCGTCTCAGAGGGGAGAACAAGGAAGAACGGCTTTAGAGGACTAAGACTACAGAGTCTTGGTGACTCACCTAAGGTAGACACACTGGCGACACGAGAGTCGGTTGTAATGAGCACACGTCGCAACGGTTCTTCGCAACATCACCAAACAAGTGCAGTGGGTAATTATCACTTGCACGCATGGCAAATCACATCCCAGCACTGGGCTGTCAACAACATAGCCAATGACTTCCTCCTCCTCATCGCCTTCAAGACTCTGACCTTCCATAGAAACCAAGGAATAAGATGAAAAACTGAGAAGCTAAGACACCCTCACACTCGCCAGAGTGCCGCCTGCCTTAGCGCCGCTGAGCCTCAAGACCCTTCTCCTCAATGACAACCAGCTCCTCAGAGGCGGAAGCTGGAATCCCATGTGGACATCACTCTGCCAGGGGTTGGGCTCTCTTCTCGTAAGAAAAAGAGAGAGAAGAAAAGTGTCAACATGGTTGATACATTTCCTTTCCAATTTACCCCTACTACTATAAATAATCGCATCAAACGCAGTCTTAGCACGCACACATTTTCAAAATCTTGCAGGTATCTACGCTCTCATTAACCAGGGAAAAAATGAATACGTTAACTTTTAACGAGATGGAGGGAGGAAGCAATAAGCCTACAAATCAAATACAATCATAACATCTACTAACTAAGACATAAATCTTGAGCGTGTTCCAATGTAGCTCTCTTGTTCGTTCTGATGAGTCAATTGGGTTTGGGGAAGGTTTTAATAGAGACCTCCTGAAGCCGCAAGCAAGTCTTCCTGCTTCACGCTCCTGTCCCTTAGTTGACTTTGACAACTTCTCAAAGTATGCTCACAACTTTGATTCCCATGCGGCTCACCTGACTAAATCGGAAATTTGGCTCTCTGGAGAGCCCAACCTTTCAAACATGGGACATATTTTACCCACTAAGTCAATCTGAACATGCTGGCGACTTCAAATAACTTAGTCTTTAAATCAAAAACTTTTCTCAACTTTTGAAAATACAAAATATGCCATTATTTCAAAGACAGCACTAGAGAGTTAATAATAATTTATCCAACCATGACGTACAGAGTTCACTAATAAAATGGATGACTAAAGTGCATTTTTATACTCTCTCTCTCTCTCTTTCTGATTTCCTTTCTCACCCACTGATCTGTTTGAACCCCCCCCCCCCTACATCGATCTCCATCACCCCCACCCCACCACTATCTCTCCCCATATCATGAGAATTTTGGGTACTCGCCAAACCAAAGTTCAAGTAAGAAAACATCCCAGCTCAAAGTCATACTTGTGTCAAGGTTCTTCTAATTTCCCCCCTGATATCTGACAGGTTATGTCAAGTGGAAGTTTTCAATCGCGGCTCAGTTCTACAAGGAAACATGCGGACTTTGAATTATAATCCAGTTGAAATAAACCTGTTATATGCTGTTAAAATGGGAGTCACAAAAGCACAATTCCAAGCCACAAGACTCAAAATAAGATTCATGTACTTTGGTATTAAATACTCAAATACCTTGTATATTCAAATTTGGAGAAATGTTTGAAAATGAATCAGGTTGTTTGATATCTGTCCAGACTGTTAGTTGACAGTTGCAACAATGTCTATGTTTAGAAATGATATACATATTTTTTCCATTTAAATCTGTTCATAAGGTGTTTGTTTTTTTTGTATTGCAAACTGATAAGTCAAAGAAATGCTGATAAAAAAGCAGCATTCGTCCTTTTCTCTGCTGCATTATCTAAAACTTAAGCTGTGTTGAGCTAATACTAATAGCGCCTAAAAATGTAAGGTTTTATTTCTAGATAAGCAATTATCAAGTATTATAAGTGGTGGAATTCAATGTCTATTTTCACTACTTTAAACAGAATTTGTAAGCAAATAGATTTTAAATTAGAGTGCAATTTTTAACAAAAGAAGAACCCAATATTTTTCTTTGATTTCTATACGTGAAACACATAAAAATAAATAATACTATCGAATTTCAGTTTCCTTGGTTATTATCTCAGTCCACAATCTTTTTGAATATTAATTGAATATTGTCCCTGTATTTAAAATAGTACCGATACCTTTATTTGTAATGCAACAATGTTGGCGGTCACTATTGTCTGTTAAAATGTTGCCTGTGGCATCTACATGTACACAGGAGGATTTGGCATTTTGCAGATAAAAAGGAAGTCCCAATGAAATTACATGAGACAGAACAATTCTGTTTTGGTATTTTTTCCCAATTATCTATGTTAATGTGATGAGACAAAAAGGGGATTCTATTTTTGTCAATCTCAGTGGGCATAGAATATGTTGTTGCCAATAAAGTATATTGCGTGTGATTTCAAGCTTCCAACATAACTTGGACATTATTGTTTAATTCTGTAACATTTTCTGGCAAGAGTATGGTCACAGATAAAGGGGGATCTGAAAAGTATTGTGTTAGAGAATGCAGTTTACATATACCAGACATTCTCATTAAGACTTTGAACATTTTTTCCAATTTTAAAGAGAAGGAAACCCAACAAAAATTAGCTGATAATCTTATTAAAAATTTGCCAACCAGTTAAACAAAAAATATTGAAAGTATTTGTATTTGATTATTTAGCAAGGAAAACATCGCCAAAACTTATAGTTTCCATGCCAGCCATTCTTACTCAGCTGGGAAATGCAACCATAATGATGGTTTTAGAATAGGCCATTCTGTTAGTGCTTCAAATAAATGGACATTCTTTCATTACATGCTGTGACAAGATATTTGGTTCAGCTGTTCGGAACAGCGGAGCATGACTTTCTTTAGCCAATATTCAGAGGTTTGGCAAATATAGCAACATCTGATTTATGGATAGTAAATTGTATCTATAGAGATGCTAATAAATTATGCAGAGCATGTATTAAAATGAAACGGTGCAAGACCAGGGCCAGGGTGTAAAACCAGGGCCAGGGTCCAGGAGAGAAGCAGGATATATTTTAAAATTAGTACCCGGTAAATACCTCTGAAAAGTGTTTGCAGAGATGTCATTAATTAAAGGATGATCAATATTGTGGAATATTAACAATTTACCATCTCTATGCCCTTTGCTCTTCTTCCAGGGCAGGCTAAAAAAATAAGAATTTTCATTTGCCTGACAAGAATCTTTTGAATTCATGGAGAAAGAAGAGCCCAGAACTAATTTACATAGATGCCATTAACAATCCTTTTAACCTCTGAACCTATCTGAATGTGCACCAATTGTATGTCTATTATTGGATACATGAGTGGGCTTTCAGCCTCTGTCTCACATATCAAAGAGCCTAGAGTCTTGGCCTTGACTCGACTCTTGCCATTTGGGGGGCTCTCAAGCCATTTTTAAAAGAATACAGCGAGAAATACAATGCTCAGCTCCGTGAACGTGTGTATGTACACGTACAAGCACACGCAACAAACAATACATGGTTAAATGTTATTAGCGTAACTCGGCAATGGCCTGGGATTCGTGCACAAAAGTCACTGGACCTAACAATCGCAAGTTACTGTCGATCCCTAATTACGAACATCAGCATGATAAATGGCCTCAAACATCGAGTTGCTTACCTTCAAATCGAATCCACTTCATCTGTGCACAAAGCAGATAACCCTCAAACAGTTGTTAGAGGATTACAAAGCGCTTATTTAGGTGGAAATAATGGTCGCGTGCCGCCGATCTAGGCACGCCAGGTATTAAACGAACAGGTGGTATCGTATCAGAGGAAGGGAATCGATCCGTCCCCATCGGATTATTCGGCCAGCTTCGATACTCTTATGAAGTGCTAAAAGATTGAATCGTTTGTCTGCGCACCACATTCATTAACTTGAGCTATCATGGTTTTCACAGAATTTTTTTAAAAAGTAGGCCTATGTTTTATTGAATCAAAATAAATCACAATACTAACAATTAATTGGAGAGTCGTTAAAAATCAAGAGTATCACAATTCATAAAATAGGGCAAATCAATATTAAAACGTTAATTGCAACATGATAATACAAAATAAATACAGCAGGAATGCGAGTAGATAGACACAAAAGAACCTCCATCTACGAATATGAGCAGCTTCTTTTTGGGGGGAGGGGTTGTAAATTTGCCTGTAAGAATCCAATAATTAATCAGAAGAAACCGGTACGTTCTGAATTTTTCTTGGTCATATTCAAACGTTTTTTACACATGTGCTGCTCAAGATCACCTCATGGTATAGGCCGACAATGAAAGCTCGATGAAAAATGCAATTGCCACTGTTTAAAGTTAACTCAATATTCCTTCCCCGACACCAAAAATTATATATTTTGATATATTTGAGTCAATAGTAGGCCTACATTTTCTTTAATTTCATTTTCATTTTCTTGCATTATTACCCTAGAAGGGCCTATAGTTTATCAAATTTGAGTTTCGTCATCCTTGTAACAATTCCCCCTTCGCTTTTCCATGTTTTGTTGCAGTGTTGGGGGAGGGGTGGGGCGGGGGGTGGGTCCCACAATATGCAAGCATGTGACGCAGTTGATTTCGCTTATATTTGTTTTCCTGATGATCAAACTTCCCCCTCCACACACACAAACAGAAAAAATGATATCGGGATTTAGTCGTGAAAAAGAAAACTCTTATGTCGCAAAGTTTAACCCAACCTAATTTTATTATGAGGAAAGACAGCAATTACATGAAGCAATGGGAGAAGATTGTATCATTTTACTCCTAAGCCCATGCAGTGCCATGTGCAGATGAAGATTTCGAAGATGCCTAAACACTTCTATTTCAACTCATATGTATACAGTCCTCAAAGCGGCCCACTTGAAACTTGAAGATTGTAAACACTTATCTTCAGACATCCACTTCCAACTTCATAGGGTGGCATATACTCCTCATGCTCATACCGTGGTGCGAACTTTTTACTTGTAACCATGAGAATAGGGCGAATAAGTGCCGATTGTCTATCAACTGTTCCAATAAAAGAGAGGTGTGGCCGTGTGGGTAATTAGCCTTATTCTTAACTCTAATTTCACATTTATTATATTCCGACAATCTTTGAGAATTGAAGAAAAAGAAAAAGCGAGTGGTCTTTAGGGTTTAGGCTATCCAGCTTCTCGGTACATATTCACTCCTGAATGGAGTAAATATTAATTCCTGAATGATAAACGCAAATAAACCTTAAAAATTACAACATCAACAACACAACATGGCGGGGGAAGGGGTTGGTCCATGTGGGGTGAACCAGGCAACCAAAATTTGCCAGGAGCGACTAAACAATATTACGTATAAGAATAAGTTACACACGTTAGAAGAAGTTGTTGATGGTGATGATGATTGTGGCGATAATATTGATGATATTGATGATGATGATAAAGATAGCAACGAACGCCGTAGTTACCGCTTTTTTTTCTCGGTTTTTTGACTTGAAGATAGCTTACATGCAAGCGAGCGAAGCAAGCAATTCTGATTGTACCTCGATACATGAATATGAGGATAATTATTCGGAAATTTCGTTGGCCAGAATCATCCTGTTCCTAAAATAATTATGTTCCTAGCAAATGACGCAGCCTTGTAAAAATGTAATCTCAAAGTTAAAAAAAAGGTAAGATACATTCGAGCATCTTGCTGTCAAATAGATATCCTTGTAGCACATTATTATAATCATGGAGGTATTCAGGCACTTCACTGCCTAAAATCATTATGTTTCTAAATGTTAAAAAAAATTATCGTTATTCTATTATTTCCTCTTCTTCCTTCCCTTCCAATTTCTCAAATTTGCCTCTATTTTCTCTTTCGTTTTTGGCTTCTTTTGGTTGTCTTCTTTCCTTTTATTTCATGTCCACTTTCCTTTCCCTTTCCTTTTTCTTTTCCTTCCTCATTTCTTCCTCTCCCTCCTCATTTTCATTTTTTCCTTTCCAAAGGACAAGTACAGGCCAAGATGGCAACATCTTTTTTTTCTTCTTGCTTTCCTTTTCCTTTTTTATTAGATGGGGTTGGCGCCGAATTGTCGTTCGAAAGTGTCGGGAGAAGTACCCGGCTATTGTTTCACCAAACAGGAGAAGCATGCCGACTTCAATAACAGCAGCACTGGACGAAATGTAAGGGATGAGAGGGCTCGAATATGGGCCAGCTCGCCAGCCGATGAAACCCTTCGAGCACACCGCTGCAGTCACAGCCGGACTGCCGCTGACGGTATATTAGGCGTGGGATGAGAGAGGGGTGAGAGCCTGTGAGGTATTTGAATAAAAAGAAAGTTTGGGAGCGAGGTTGTCTGGAGACGAAAAAATGAGTGACAGACAAAAGTAAGCTGCAGGCCGCATAAAACACTGTCGCTGTTATGACAAACTTTTCTCCATAAAAAGGGTAAATTATTGCCTCTAAGCCAATGTCTACAATCAAGCTTTATTCAAAGATATCGATTGATAATTGCGGAATGAAAATACACCTGGGATTGTTGCTTTATATTTCTTATGACGATGGCGAGATTTAAAGCAAGATAGTTAAGAGGAAAAAGACAAAAATAATCACTTTTTAATACATAGATCTTACCTTTTGAAAAAATGATGATTTTAACATTAATTTACGTAAGCTGGAAAACATTTAATACAAAATTGTTTACGAATTTTTGTCAATACATGTTTTTTCAAAAATCGGAAGAAAAATATTATATTTTGCAATAATGATCAATAAAATATTGTAAGCATTCGTACTGTTTGAATGATTACAACACGAGTCATGTTCATTGTCAAATTGAGCATAATAAATTAGTTATTCCAGTCCGGCATGTGTACGTATCTCCAATTAACGATTTCTTTTCAGTCATTCTCTATTTTTTGTCCAACAATAAATTGTAAGTCAACCTTTACTCATTTTCTTTTGGAAAGCCATATTTCATGCACTGTATTACATTACAATGGGACACCCTCAAAATGGCGCCTCGTGGTGAGCTTGTTATCTCATCTTTTAGAGGGTCCTTCTCAGGGCCTTTGTAAAATGTATTTATTGGGCCTTTATTGGTTGTTAAACGCTGTATATTATACTCCGGACCTTTATTAATTAATTTTTTCGAATTTAAAATATCGTTTGTGTGACTTGAGTAGGCTACAGTATTCAGCAGGTTATATAAGCCTATAACTCTCTAACTATGAGAACTATAAAATACGAAAGGAGATGTTAACGCCTATATAAATTATTATGTATCAATCAAAACTCAAACATTGATCACTTTATATACAATATACTTCCATTTCTTTCCATAACATTGTAGTGCAATTTAAGGGATTTTCATGAAACGAGTTTGACCCTCTCCGAAAATGAAGGGGACAAAATAAAGCCAGAGAGAGAGAGAGAGAGAGTGGGGGGGGGGGGGGGGGTGGAATGTAAATATGATTAGACAATTAGATAATTTTGGCAAATATGAATGTAATATCTAAGAGGCCTATATCCGTCTACAGCAGTAAGCACACCATAATGACCACCAGACTCGGGTCCATTTGTCCATGACGCGACGCGGGTCAAACTCCATATTTTTATCATCATGATTATGAGAACAAAACACCAAAAATGTGGTTACAGTATAATAATTATATACAGCCAGGCATGATGGTAATAAACGAGGATATTACAAGAGTGATCCTCTCATCGAATTATGACATCCGATTCAAAGTGTATGTCAATATGAGGGTATTATCTTGTCTGTGGTGAACGAAGACAAAACCCAGAGTGAATCAGATCAACTGGGATCAAGACAGACAAAGCGGAAAGATGGCTGCCATAACCATGTAGCCACATTTTGTCGCCGCCTCGCCGCCGACATCGTGATTCAGAGGGTGATTTGATATAATTGTCATTCTTTCCCCGCAGTATTATTTTAGAACTTGGCCTTGCCGTGTAAGGAGACATAATATTGTATTCGATGAGCGTTACATCAGACTCAGAGACATGCAGCTACACTATCCCTGGTTAAAAGGGTGAAGTTAGTAGACAATTATTATTGCTAGATCTTCACACAAAGTTTGTTGGCCCGATATTTGAGCAGTTTGATTAGTTTGGCATTGACTTTGATGTATAAAGTTCAATACCCATCCCTTGTTTTTCATTCTCCTTTTCTCTCGTAATAATTTGTCTATCTGAAGAAGGGGGAAATCAAAATTAGCGATATCTATAAGCAATTGTACAAAATTAATTGTGTAATTCTAATGTTTTTGCTTTTCTCATGACTTTTATCATTGTGAAATCAGCCACAAAAAGTAGCATTATTAGAAAGTAATACGAATATTTATTATTTTATACCTCATGTGAAGGGGAAAAAAACAAAGTCCCTTACGTGAACGTTTGCCCTATAGGTATATAAAATAACCTCTCTCACTCACACACTTTCTCTCTCCCTCTCCCCTTCCATACCCCCCCCCCCTCAAAATCCCAATATCTCTCTCTCTCTCTCTCTCTCTCTCTCTCTCTCTCTACCTCACTCCCTCACTCACTCTCTCCCCTTTCTCTTACCCTTCTTCTCACTAATCGCCATGCTACCACCTTTTTTTCTTTATCCCTTCCAGCCACCCTTTTCTCCTCTCTCTCTCTCTCTCTCTCTACCTCACTCCCTCACTCGCTCTCTCCCCTTTTTCTTACCCTTCTTCTCACTAATCGCCATGCTACCACCTCTTTTTCGTTATCCCTTCCAGCCACCCCTTTCTCTCTCTCTCTCTCTCTCTCTGTTTCTTTTATTTTTGTGAATCTTGACAATTTGACTTCCAAAAGTTTGTCTCGAGTTAAAAGGCGCATTTCGACGCCTCACTTTACACAAATTACTTTTCAAACCTATAGGTCCCATGGCTCTCTGCGAAGAAGGAAACAGAAATGAACCCACTTCCAAAGTAAATGGATATAGATATTTTTTCTTGCTATCGCAGTCATTTCGTATAGTTTTTATGAGTTATGATTTCGTGATTATGGCTCCGAGCAAGATTTTAGCGATGGCGACGCGGAGTGTTAGGAGGGATGCGCGTCGCTGTCTGTCTCGACCCGGGGACGGTGGAAGCTGACTGGG